AGGGAAACCCTTTTCGAAATAAGGCATGTCCGATCTTTCAATGGTCCATTTTGCAAAATTACATACTAGTCTAAATAATTTCACTAGTATCGGAAAATTTTCAAGAAAATTATGATTTAAGCGACTGGCAGGCGACTACTAGCCGTCATTCCATATGGATTTTCCCACGAGCCCGCCTTTCTGGCAGTCCATATGGGCTGCCACTGGCTGAACGTGAAAAAAAGCTGTAAATAAATAAATAGTTAGTGAATAAATAATAAGTAAATCATGCTGAACGATTAGCCACCTTTCTGTCCCTTTCCAGATCTGAGCAGAGGTGAGAAAACTTTTCTTGGGTTGGAAGGTATATAATGGGAAAGAGCGAAAAGGTTTCAACAGTACTTTTGTGGCATTTTCTAATCAATCAGTCACAGGGTTGAAATGAGGTGAAAATGGGTGGGAGAAACAGCACCTGAAGAAAGTTGAAAAATAAGAGCGATTGGTATACCTGGGACACATAAAGAGCGTTCTGAGCTACATTTTTGTAGTCGACGGATACCCAGGATCCAAGTAATGTCCCTACTGCATGCGTTTGTTCAATGGTACCAACTGCAGCAAAGATATCAACGTTGTTCTTGATTGGCTGATTGAGAAATGGTACCCCTCCAAACCTGCAAATATTACGAATTCTCATTTGTGAATTGAAAATATCACTAGAAACCAGTGAGAAACAAGTTGACTCACCAGTTCTTAATATCCGCTAGTATTTGCATTGAGTAGTCTAGCGAATGTTCAAGATTGCTATTGATCACGCAAGCATCCAGAGCCTAAAAAAGTCAAGATAAAGACGTGTTGGTTGCTTTCCTAACTGGCGTTCTGTACAAATTTGTTGAATAACAAATGAATATTCAAACATCACATACAGCCTTGGTAATTCTCTCCGTGGCCGACCATTTCTTGTCATCGTTCACGTCAACATCCTTGAGAGCGGCAGCCACAAGGGTGTTCACATCTACTTGTGCTTGATCATATGTTCCAAGCCGACTTCGTCCAAGCGCTGTTAGATTCACTTGAGCAATGAACTGAAGGTATAGGTTAGAGTGAACGTAACAGAGTCGGACTCTAACAGTAGGTCGTCCGTTCCAGGTAACAGTTCATTTCAAGGAGAAATACGTGATGGCTAGACGAAACGTACATTATTGCATGTGAAAGCGTAGAAGTCCTCGCAGGGATCAACGCTTTGGTCGAGGCCATTCAACAAGAACGCGGCAGCTTGCTAAAATAAGAAATTATGTGGAAATGTTCGATTCCTGATGAGGAATATTGCGACGTCAAAAGCACGGTAGTAGACCCAAATTTATGCAAACGGTTTGTACTCGAGCCACTGATCCTATTTGCTATTGTGAGCTTTATACTTATTTAGCTACGTGCGCTATTTAGAATGGTTAATAGAAAGTAATCTGTTCTTCTATGAGCCAAAAATACAGGGAAGCACGTACATCAAGCGCTGGAGAAGGAGTAACCTGGAATGGTGCGACTTGGAGTATGTTTGAGTCAGGGTCAACCGTCCGTTGGACAAAGTCCAACGAGGGGTGGGGGGGGGTCGTATTTGGGGTGGAAAAAGGGGGGGGGGTCGTATTTCGCGAGGTAGCGTTAATGTTACAGTAAGGGAAGTGATGATGCAGTTGGTTGGCGCGCTAAAATTTTGCCGTTTCACGGTGTGTATGCCCCCCTAGAAAATGTTGCAGTGGAAATATGGGTGAAATAGAGGGAAAGTGAGAGGATGTTTGCGGTTTCGTGGTAGGTATATCCCCCCCCGCTCGACGGCAATTTTGGAGGAAAAAAGTGGGCGGAGTTTGGGCTGTGTCGACTGGTCTCAGAATCGAATACTATAGAATGAGCCCCATGATGGCGAGGGTGGTGAAGGGGACCCTGAGAGGGGGAGAGTCGTATCGAGGCCCTCTAGAAAGAAGAGGGGTCGTAAAATTTTTGAATATCGTCGAGTGAACGTTACGGTTGCCATGGTTTTGAATGAACCAGAGAGACGGTTTGTTTGTGCATACAGTAGCGTCATAAAAGTGTTCGCGGAAACGATTTTTGGTGCATTATTTTTCTCGCTTGAGCAACGCCCTCCAAAGATTGATATACTATGTTTTCTAGTGTTTTTATATCCTCAAGCCTTAAAGAATCAGGATGTTCAAAAGAAAAAATTTCGAGGCCACCATTGATTTTTTTTTTCTGGCAAAAAAGAGAAGCACGGAAAACCGATCCGGCAAACACTTTTGACCGTTACTAAACTTCAAGTCTGACCCTAACTAGGCCCCGACATTGCCTACTTTCGAATCAATTCAGACATTTGTATAAGGTCAAGTTGTTGCGCACGCGAGGTTGGATTGAGTTGTGCCACGGGGCAGATCACGAGCACACCAAAACATTATTATTTAGTAAGCGAGGCAAACACCGAAATGAGCGGTAAGCATTTCAACTTTTGCTCCAAAACAGTATAAAGGTCCAGAAAAATTGGCAATGTTGGCGTGGAGTTCGCAGATGTTAGGAAATCAATCTACCTGCGGGGGTAAACGGCAGTTAGAAATTCATAACTCAGTTCCAAGAAAGCGTACAAAGCAGAAAAGCTGGTGCAGAAGAGCTATGCCTAAGCATTAGTGTTCCAAGCACACGTGAATTAGCTAGGACCAGCTCAGAATGGGCCGAGGGTCTCCTAAAGTGGGCCGGGTTTGCCAACGGTATTACAATTCTCTGCAATTGTGAACCTTAACTTTGGAACACACTGGTTTTAAATCGGAGATATCATGTTTCTTTTCCTAATTTGGTACGGCCAATGAGTAGTGCGTTTCTGTTTAGCTTGACTGCTTCGAGCAGATCAGTACGTTGGAGGGGTATGTAGCGCCTCCGGGTGTTGCGCTACTGAATCATTAGTACTCACCATCCATGGCAAGGAATCGTTTGTCGCTCCGACATTTGGACAATACTTTCGTGTCATTGGCAGGGGCTGGGGATGGGGGTGGCACTGTAGAAGCTGGTGATGATGTTGGCACTGTGACGTTGTTGTCGTTGTTGCCTCCTCCGTTATTGATGTTGTTGACTCGAGTAAGTATGATGATGTTGAGAACGAGCGACGCAATAGCCACGGCCACTGCCGAAATCACCGCGACTGAAAGTGCAAACAGGATTTAGGATTGGAAAAAAGTTGACTGAATGCTTTTGAATTTTGTATCCAATTTTTTTCTAGGGAGTCAGCTTCAGGACCGTCGAGGCTTAGTTTTCTTCCTTTAGTTTGTTTTTGCTTGCCTCACACATCTTACAACATCGTGTTAGTAAATACTTTATCAAGTTGTTTGCTATGCATTAGGGTTGCATTTCTTCTGGCCGTTTTTCTTCTTTTTTTGAGCACTTATTTTGACAAAATAATACAAGGTACACCAGCGAGATTACTCTTTCCTCGATAGTCTTCCATTCCTAATTTTGAAGCAGAAAATTAAAATCAGTAAAGTAACTTTATTTTACGAACAATTCCTTCATCAGGAATTTAACTTTATTTTAGGAACAATTTCTTTATCAGGAATCAGAAATTTGACATCATCGAATATAATGGATATCAAACCTCCTCGATCTGCATTGAGATGAAATAATGGCAGCCTATTTTCGTAAGGAGGCAGAGTAGACTCAATGTATAATACTTTTTTAGACATTAATAACGCCTGCGATAAGAGTCAGGCCCCAACGCAACCGTTTTGAATCACGTTTAACGATTTGGGCCAGCTGTTGATTTTCTTTGCTTGAAACAAATAGTACAGGGTGGCGAAAAATTGCGTGCGCGCAACATTTCGCTTCGCTTCAAACATCGTATGAAGAATTTACGTGTGCTTCTTCTTTTCAAACTATCTGTCTATTATCAGTTATTGATTTGCAAAAATAGGCATTTTTTCAAGTTCTGATAAAGGCCTGCTCATTTTGAACCGATTGGTCGGCGCGATTGGACTGGGAGCTAAGCGGTTTTTTCGAGACTCACAGTTTTTCTACAAACCGTCCAAAAACTGAAAAGCATTGGAAAGAGGAAGACCATCTCTAAGGAACCCGTAAGAGAATGAGAACGGACTACCAACACCCGATGTGTGAGGAGAATTATTAAGAAGAGGAATGACCAAAAAGATGACCTGAGCTTGAATAAGAGTGCCGAACAGTACGAAACTCTCGGAAATCTGTAAAAATATTAGCAAGTATGAAGCGCTTAATAGGCCTTACCGTATACCAAACGAGCGGCTGTTGAAACAAAGGAAGAAAAATATGGATGTTGCGGGATTTTTTCCAGATGCGGCGGTAGTATCACTGTGTGTTTCACAAATAAAAGTTCACCGTTAGAGGGCCTTGGAGCTCTTAGAATCACCTTAAGCCTTGTATACCAGCTCTTAATAACATCGTAAATAAAAAGAACCTGTAAGAATTTCGTTCCCTGGAAATTTGATGATTTGAGGCTGGATCAGTGCTTCGGGCAGGCCTCCACAGGTTTTTATCGGATAAAAGCGTGGAAATCAATGGGAAAGTCAACTCAAAAAGGTCCTTGAAAAAGCTGCTGTCCCCTGAAGCAGAATCAAAACAATTCTGTCTCCCTACAAGAATGTACAGCGACCCACTTCTTCACGGCCAGTATCGGCTGTTTTGTGGTGATGGATTCCTGGTCTGCTTATAGCTTGAATTCGGATCCGCTAGAAATCTCTTTGGGGTTCTAATGAAGATCTACTAAAGGACCGAGATGCAAGAAGTTTGATGATTCTGAAAAGAACTGCTTAAAATCTGGAATAAAATATGCGTTGAACACCTCCGCCGCACCATTGACTCGCTGAAGAAACAAATTGAGGCCTGTATCAAAACTGATGGCAGCTACTCCAAATCTTTTTTGCAGTTATAAAATGTCATAGTTCGATGTTTTACAAAATTAATTACTTTCAAATTTTTGTGGACAAGGAATAAGATTGGAGGTGTTTCACGGCGCACGTAATTTTTCGCCACACTGTAGTTGATGACAGGTGTTGCCGTTGTTATAACATCATTTGCCTTTGTTTTGCTAGCCTCGGAAATTCTTGATTCAAATTCTGCCCACAAGTTGACATGTAGCAAACTCATGGCCTCCATCATATTCAGCATATGTATACCGGAACAATCGGTATGCTCCAGCCGTAATTTCCAAACAAGTAGTGTGATAGTCTCCTCCGGCGCACCCCTCATCGCATAACATTTCGATTCTTCCACATAAAATTGTATTTTTAAACCAAGGAGCAAGTCCAGTGATATAAATTTGATGGTAAACAGCTAATGTATGAGGTGGCGGTAAAATCAGTTCTGGTTCTAATTGTGCAAAGTATTTAGCCTGGTGGTGTCTCTTATTTTGCTCACAACTTTATACATTAGGGTAGAGCGCTATTCGTGAAAAGGATAATGACGAAAAGCAAACTGGAAAAACGGCGTTGGAAAAAAGAATCACGAAAAGTTAATCATTTGAATGGCTTCCGACAAATGGGTGCCGCAGACAAATCGGTGTTTCGAGGCATTATCTTGACCTGTTTT